CGAGGTTGTTGGATTTGGAGATACTGGTTAGGCAAATCTCTGCGCGCCAGTGGGGTTGGCATCTGGATTACCGTACCGACCTACTAGAATCGTGTCGTGAACACCTTATACATGCAAGGAACTGAGTGGATGCGATGCCGTCTGCTGTCTACATTAGTATAGAAACGAAAGATATCAAAATCTTCACGTAATTTCAAGTTCTAGCTTCTTCACTTCTACCATTCTCTGTAGCTAGACAGGTGTTCAAACTTTCCCTTGGAGGTGGCTGAGGAATTAGCATAAATGATCATGATAGCGAACAGCTTTTATTACTGGTACGTGATGCCGGCGACCAGGATGCTGCATAAATTTGGCTAGAGGGGCGTGACAGCACTTTAAGACACGTGATATTTGGTAGTGTGTTGTACTAGGTATAGAGTCGCGTTGGAGACTCTGGAGATGTCTGTCGTAGCAGTGAAGTTGTGACAGTGTCGTAGTTTGGAAGAAAGAAGGATGAAAACTTGAAGCCGGCGGCTCATGAGATCGGAGTATGGGTGTAGAGCGATCTGAGTCATCGGTGCATGCTTTTGCAAAAGGAAGGAAGTGCAGTGAAGTCTGAGGTGGACGGAGTAGTTTGCGATAGGAACAGACATTTTGAATGCTAGTCATTACGACGTAATCGGTGGGAGATATGTCCGCGCTTGAATATCCGGCTTTTGTCCGCAGCGAGTCGTGAGAGAGAGGGTGCATCCAACGTCTGGGGTGGCGACCTGCGTAGAGAGTGTGAGACAACCAACAAGCCTATACTTAGTCCCGGAGTACCCCGCCATGGGTCTTATATGTGTGACTCCCTCAATATCAACATCTCCGCGCCCTGCATGCGCAGCCCTATAAATCACATGCAGGTTGACGACGTGTTTTTGGCCCCCACGATTCCGGTGAAAAGGCGTCCTGCGCGACTCGCCCAATCGAAGGATGCGGCATACGTATGGGCCGACATCCAGAACATCAGGACACGGTGCAATTGCGCAGCGACGGAAAAAGCGGGTAGGACGGCGTGCGCAAATGTGCAATTCCAGGGAGCGGGGACGGCGGGTTTATCAGTAGCGACGTGTTAGTTGTGTTTAGCAGCTGATCCACCAGAAGTGGTGAGGATGGCGAAGTCGCTTCATCCATGCACAGCCCTGCCGCCCTTCAAAGCCTCCACCCATAGGGCGCCTGACGCCATTCACCAATGATACGCGTGCACTAGCAGCCGTTCCTGCGCTTCTTGGGTTGACCGGTTTCTGGCCAGGGTCTTGTCACCGCTGGATGGAGCACATTTCTGGTGGTTCAGTGTCTTTTACCACAGTAGGATCGCGGTGAGGGATGAAATAACTCTCGCAATCACCTCCCGCAGCAACAGACACGGCAGAGATACGCAGAAGACGGATGGCTGCTATTGTGCAAATGGGCGAATAATGGTATGCAGCTCGTATTCAGGATCCGAGCAGGGGCTGACTGCGCGGAACGTCAGATGTCCGTGCACTGCTGCCTGGAGTTGAACTCCACTTACTGGAGGAAGCGACGACAACCCGTTCCTTCCCTCTTGAACCACCTATCCCCCCAGCCCGCGCTGCTCGACATCTCTTCTTGCTTCAAATCCTAATCCCTCAGGCCTCCCTCCCCGTCCTCTTTTTGCACCGCAGACCCGCCGCCCTTGTGCCTCTTTTGCCGCTCGCCGCCCGTCTTACTCCACGTGCTGCGCCTTCCTATATACCTGCACGTCTCCTCCGACACCAGACCAAAGGACTCAGCGCCCTTTCCTCGCTCGCTGCATCACCATCATCACCCTAGCCTATCAGCTGCTAGCTTCCGCGGCCGCAAAGGTTCCACTATCCCCGGTCAATGAAAACGTGATCTGGGCTCTGATAACCACTCACACTTGGTCTCTTTGGATCGCCGGGCTTGGGGAACTGTGCAGTCCGTGACTCACCTGAGGCCGCCTTTCCCACTTCAACCGGTACGACGACCAGTCATACTCAACATGTCTGCACCCCACGACCAGAACCGTCATCCCCGCCGCCGTCCTCTTAAGGGTTCCGCATCCCCTCTGAGCACCCATGGCATGCAGCTAAGGAAGAGCGGCACTTTCTCGTCGCCAACCCATATCTCGTCCGACATCTGCGAGGTGGACCGATTCTGCATGCCCCGCCGCTCGCCTACCAACACTGACCGGCTGGAAGAGCTAGTCAACGACTCCATCCAGGACCCTAACGTGCGTCGCGTCACCAACCTGCTCAAAGACTTCGAAGCGAGGGTCGCTGGCCATAAGAGCGCTGTCACCAGCTGTGACCTTCTCAACGATCCGGAGGTTCTTCCTGTCCCGAGCTTTGTCCTCGACGGCGCCCCATTGGATCACACCCCAATGGACATTGACCCAAAGCCTACTGCAGTTGGACGCAGCCCCCACGACCACGCTTCTGACAGCGGTCTGGGTTCCAGCATCAGTGGATCGAAATACGGTAAGGAACCACTGCAGCCACCCGTCTTGGATGAGAACGCCCCACATACTAACATATATAAAGACGAGATTCGCTCCCAGCGCTCGAGCGTCCGTGACTCCATTAGCACTTCTATCAGCTCGACGCATTCGGCTGTCACCAGGTCCTTCTCATCGCTCACCTTTTCAGAAGAGGACGTGCTCGGCGAGCACACGTGCAAGCAGATCCACGACTACATCATCAAGCCCATTCTCGCCGAGGAGTCTCTCAAGGACTTCCACTCCCTCGTCAAGGACGTGCCTCGACGCATAGGTGAGAAGAACATCCGCAACCTCCGTGACCTCGAGAAGACCCTCGTCTTCCTCGCACCGGTAAGTGGAATCACCCGTTGTCTTTCTCAAAGTGCAGAAGCTTATTGCATTTTTCGTGGTTTAAAGGAGCTGTCGGCTTCCCCGGACTCGTACTTCCGCTTTTGCCAACGATCAATCCAACTCTTGGCTACGACCGTCCAGTACATCTCCGAACAAGACCAGCGACTACCAACCGACCGCCCTTATACTGACGGCTACTTCCTCGATTTGATGGAACAGATTAGACGATACGCTTCAATCATGGCTGCTACAAGAGAAAAAGAAACCAAGGGTGAGGATCTGGACGAGATGGATTACTCACGGTATGACCGCGCCGCCGACTTTTTATTCGCCCGCGCTAATCAAAAACTCTATAGCGATGAGAAGATCACCCTCCGCGGTGGAATCAGCCACAACGGCCGTCCTGTCGAGCTCGTCCGGGAGAAGAACGGTAACGTCATCCCCATGTCAGTGGATGCCTCGAACGCCTTCAGGATCAAGCGTCGTCTGTCGGACGCCGACGAGGACAGCATGGACGAGGACGAAGTAACCCGATCCATGGCGCGACGACGGAAGTCCGAGAAACCCGGAGACGTGATGCACACTTGCCGTGACTGCAAGAAGGAGTTCAAGCGACCATGCGACCTGACCAAGCACGAGAAGACTCACTCTCGCCCATGGAAGTGCGACGAGAAGAACTGCAAGTACTTTGAACTCGGCTGGCCGACTGAGAAGGAGCGTGATAGGCACATGAACGACAAGCACTCTGCTGCCCCTGCTCAGTACAAGTGTCTCTACCACCCATGCACGTACGCTTCGAAGCGCGAGTCCAACTGCAAGCAGCACATGGAGAAGGCTCATGGCTGGGAATATGTTCGCTCCAAGAGCAACGGTCGCAAGAAGGGCGCTTCTGGCAGCGAGCACAGCCCCGCTACCCCTCTCACTCCCTTCATCGGTACACCCATGTCGGCGACCATGACTACACCTATCACACCATTCGCTGCTTCGCCTCAAGTGCCCATGATCGAGAACTTTAACTGCTATGGCTTCGGAACGCCGGCCATGAGTGCCCACGGTTACCAAGATGACTTCCGTCGTGACTCGATCACCACCGATGGCTCTCACTTCACATACTCGTCTGGACATTCGCCCGTTGAGCCCACATCCTTCGACGATGCTGTGACGCCAGAAGACACCCACATCAACCACAACGACATCTACAACGCCTGTGCACTGAACGCAAACTTCAACACAGGCTACCAGCAGCCAACCCCAATGAGCACAGCGTTCGACTTCGCGCCGCTGCCATTTGCGACGAATAACAACATGAACGGTCTGCCACATCTATCACCCATGGCTCAGCCTGACATCACCCTCTACTCACCAGACATGGATGAGGGCTTTGGCGGTGACATGGACATGACCATGCAAGGCTTCAGTCGCCCCGGCCAGGACTTCACGTTGTTCGACACTGCGCCACCCAGCCAGATGACGTTCAACCACACGGCCAACTTCTTTCCCGACTTCAACCAGGTTGGAGGCCAGTTCGACCCCCAATACATTGAGCCCACCACTACGTTGGATGATTTGAACTTTATGGGCTTCGGGAACCAGCAGTAATTCCCGCACTGCATTGTATACGATTAGCGGGCACTTGTATAGCCGTCTTTCACACCCGTACTTAAACAGAAGGAGTAATTTTCCATTGAGCCGGCGTCTGGACACTGGGTGTTTCTTTGAACAGCGATTCACGACTGTTATGACAAGAGGAGGAATTGAGAAGATATAATCGGGCACGCATGCATTTACGGCCTTGCTCTTCACTCTCTCTTTTCCCACACTGGGTGTGGGATAGCGCCTCGAACAGAACAGAAACTCCACAAAAAAACAAAGGATCTTTGTTTGTTTGCGCGGGTTTTCATTTCCCCCCTTCTTCTTTTATCTGGCGACTGATTTTGATCTCCCCCCTTCTCCTTCTTTGCGGACTGCCCATTTACGGAGTCTTAAGGCTGCGGTAGAGATCATCAGATACTGTAGGATAGATAGATAAATAAAACTGGTGGAAAGGAAGATCTTGTGTTTGCACATGTTGAGTGGTGATTGAATGCACGCAATACTAATCCATGTCTAATCGTACACAGCTTTTGATATCCTTGTAGGGACGGTCAAGGAGAGTCAATCACCCTCATCACTCTGCGCCCAAACTCCGCTCTCCACGGCCATAGACCGATGCGACCTCCTTGCGCCACTTCAAACCATTCCTCGTCAACTCAACCTTCACCTTCAGCTCCTCGCACCCCTCTTTAATCTCCCTCGCGATCTTCCTCTCTATGACCCGCATCGCCTCCTCCTCGACGGCCTTACTCCTCACCCCAAATAGTACCAGTACCTTCAGCCCACGTAAACTGTCACGAAGGAGCCCGATGAACGCGGAGTTTACGCCGAAGCCAGGGAAGTAGATCTCGCGGAAGGGGCACTACAGAGGTAAAAGTACTAAGTCAGTATATGTCTCACATGCACTTCGTACCGTCAAAACTTACCTTGAGCACGGTGATGGCAGCGATCTGGGTTGGGAGCAGTGTCTGGGCGAGGTACTTGGAGAAGTCGGTGACGGAGCCGAAGGCGAAGGGGGTGGAGTTGAGGGCGATAAGATTGGTTTCGGTGTAGAGTTGGCGGCAGACTTGCAACAAAGCGAGCTGTTGTATAGTATTTTCGCTTCCACTATTATGCCGCATACTCTTCTGGCGTGCGACATCGAAGGTGTGGAAGTCGCGGTGAGAGCTGAGAACCAAGTCGTAGATGGTATTGCGGATTTCAGCTGGAAGACGGAGGAGAGGTGATTGTGTGTTGGTTTGAGCGCTGTGGTGTGTCAGTAGGCTTCCAAGATCAGGTCATACATTAGAGTTTATTTCTAGAGAGAGCGTACATGGCGAGCTTCTCTGGATCGGCGCTGAGTTGTAGCATGTCGGAGGCTTCTTCTGAGACGTCGGTGGCTACATGATCTTCTAGACCCACAGACTGCGTGGACTGGCATAGATTTCGGAGTCCAGTGTCCATGGTAAACTGGCCGGTCCTTGAGGTAGTTGATGATTCGGAAGTGACTCTCACATCCAGAAGATCATCTGGAGTCTCGGCGGCGGCGACACGGTGTCGCTGCATCGCAGCAATCTTGTCGATCATAGACATACTGGTTGATGGATGATGTGGTTGAAGTGGATGCGAATCTTGACTGACTTGCGGGAAGAGAGAGAGAGGGGAGGATAGACAGAAGTACAGTTCGTGGGAGATGAAGCCAGTTTTATCCTTGCGAGGTCAGCGGTGATTGAGCGGATGGGAAAGCGTTGCGGGTAAGGTTGGCGCTTGCTCTCACCCCGCTAGCAATCGTCATGCCATACACCCGCTCAGAGACCGACAGTCTTGTATGACGCATTTGAACGAATAACAAAAATAATACAGCAGAAGGAACCGAATGACTGCTATGGCATAGCTTCCATGAAGACATATATATGTGTATACCCATTAGTCCGTTTGATCAAATTAATCAACATCCTCCTCCGGTATCTCACCGCCCACCCCGTTCCCATTCTCAACCCCATTCGCACCAGCCTCCTCACCCTCCTCCTGCCCTTCACCCAACCCCGCCTCAAGCACCTCAAACCTCTCTAACAACCCCACATCCCACCCCTGAAACTTCTTCGTGGTCGGCGGCAACAGCCTCTGACTCCCTTCCAACCCCTTCTCCAACTCCTCATACAGATCCACGGGAAACTCCACATCCTCTATGCTAGCACTCTCAGGCTCTCCCGGCTTTAAAGCCTGCCAAGTCTGTTTCTGGTAGAAGACCTTCATCGTACGTGTAGGATCGAGGCGGCCGGGCGTGGGTATGGAGGAGGAGAAGAGGAGATCGGGGGTGAAGACCCAGATGAGGAGGGAGGGTATGGGAGTTTCATGTGATTGGTCGGGTGGTGCGGCGGTGTGAACGTGGAATTTGCGGAGGCCGGTGTTTTCGATGAGGTGGAGGAGGCGGACTGATATCCATTTCTGGACTGTATGCGTAGTTGGTGAAGAGGGTGTGGTTTTTGCAGATCGTATGCTGATGGCCCACTTTCGTATTCGCCAGCCGTCGGTTGAGGGTTCCTGGGCGCCGATTGTGTGGTTGCAATGTTTGCATTTTATCAGGTCTTGACCTGTGCCTTCGGAGGAAGAGGAGAGCTGCGTCATGTTAGCATATGCGAGACCGAACAACGATAGCCAGAGATGTATGTAGAATGTAGCCTTGGCTAAACCTGCCAATCCCAAGAGACTGAGGGTATAGAGACAGTGAAACGCCAGGCCGCTGACTCGATGGCGCCGGCAACCCATCAACCTGGGGAAGAGGATACACCGGAACCGAGAGTACGTGTATGAGCCTATCAATCTAGGGCGGTTGTATCGACGATGAATGCCACTGATGAGGCGAGTTCGCCTTCTTTGCGCCCATAAATGTTATAACCTCATGAAGTGACGATGTAGGAACCGCACGACACGGTTGAAAGAAGGTTGTAGCTTACCTGTGCGCCTTCGCAATCCGACTCTGCCAGTAGAAAGCTGGCCAGATCAACAAACCCTACACCTCCCATAGCCTGCAGGCGGTTCCCAGCCGCGTAGCCCTTCTGACCGACGACTTCATCATGCGTGTGATCGTGCAAGTGGTGCTCGTCTGGCTTATGGCAATGCCAAAAGTCCATCATCTCAGCCCAATTCTCATTAGGCAGGTCTCTCCACTGTTGAATCTTTCCTTTCGCTACAAGGATACCGTCGCAGCCTTTGCAGGTTATCTCAACATCTTTCGCATCGTTGAGCGAAGCGCCGTCCCACGGTACAATGTTGGCCTGTCGGTCTTCGCGTTGCAGTGTCCCAAGAAGGTCGCTTCCTTCCTTTTCTTCCAGCTGAAGACGGAGTGTTAACTCTTTCGTTGGAGGCTGTGACGGTAGTTCAAGCGCAGCGTCGCCTCCGCCTTTGACGTTGATAGGAAGACGTATTGACGCAGACTGGCCCTCATGAGAGACAGTGATGTAAGAGCCATCAGACGACAGCTTCGCGTCCGTCGACCGAGAGAAATTCGTGCGCAGCGATGCAAAAAGCGTGACCGTACGTATATGCAGCAGCAGTTCGGCGTATAGCGTTATGGAAGTTTCGTTGGGCGACATGGGGCGCGCATTGTCTTCGTCACTCTGCAGGAGGTTCGGCGCGTGGATTTCGGTAGGCTCGGGCGCAGGCTTGGGATTCATCAGGTCTTTGATCGTTTCAGGAGAGAGGCCGAGAGCTTCGTATGCTGACTCGGGAAGTAGCGGGCGCGACATACTTCGTGATTGCGCGCCATGGTGACGGGTGGGGTGAACGTGGGGTTGGGGAGGTCGCTGAGCTACGCGCGCGACGAAGTTGACTTAATCGGGAGTGGGTCCCGCCTTGGGGAGGTTCTAGCTACATCTGGCCACGACAGTGTGCATGTATTTACGAGAGCTTCCCTGAGTTGAGAATACGAGCATCGTAGCGAAGCGCTTGTTTCATTACTTCAACATGTGCATCGAACATGTCGAGGGCATGTAATTACATTATCTACAAACACTATACACCTGCAATATGGGAATAAATCGTCTTCGATAGGCTCTGCTCATATGTTTGCATGAGTCTACTGACCCTTCTTCTCCCCAGCCTTCTTCTCCTGCTCCAGAATATACTGTACACCCCTCTTGATACCCTCATCCAAAGTAACAAGAGGTTCATATCCTAACCGCAGTCTCGCCTTGTTGATGCTGTGGTACTTGGACATACTGCTGTACTTGACCTGAGCCCTAGTCAGATTAGGCTTCTTTCCCATGAGCCAAAAGACGTTCTCTAGAATCGTGCCAATAGCCCACATGAATTCGGTGCTAAGATGCCACACGCTGCTCAAGGGTGTTCTGTCGCCCGCCTCGTGCCATACGGCACGCGCAAAGTCCCAGAAGTATACGGGTTGTCCGTTGGTGATGAGGAAGGCTTCGCCGTCGACGCGCTCGTTGTCGAGAGGAATGGAGGGTAGGCGTTTGTGGGTGTGTAGCAGTGCGATAGCAGCGAGCACATGGCCGTATGCGACGTTCTCGACGTAGGTGAAGTCGAAGAGGTTGGTGTTCTCGCCGACTTGGAACTTGGTTTGTCCTTTGCGGTATGCGCCAACCATCTTAGGAAGCAGTTGTACGTCGCCTTCGCCGAAGATACCAGCGGGACGGATGGCGCAGGTCAGGAAGTTTGGGGAGTTCTCAGGATGGCGGTTCGCTTGGAGGACGGCCGTCTCGGCGTATGCCTGGTATATCGTTAGCTTCTAAGACATAACAATGCGATCGTATGCTTACCTTTGTGGTTGTGTAGTACTCAGGCTGGTCGTCGCCAGTAACAAGCGGCCATCTCTCGTCCGCGTTGACGAGATCGTTTACGTGGTCGAGGATGACACTCGCTGAGCTTGTGTACACGAAGCCCTTTACTCCAGACTCTTGCGCGGCCTGTAGCAGGACCTTGGTACCCCCAACATTGACCTTGTCGTGAATCTCAGGCTTCAGGTCGAAGTGTGGAGATGCTGTGTGGATGACAGCATCGGGCTTGATCTGTGAGAACAGAGCCTTCATGGCAGGGGCGTCCGTGATATCGCCATCGTGGTAGGACACGTTCGGGCTGGCATTGCGATTCGAGTTGGTTCGCAGATCGAGGACGGCGATTTGTGTCTGGGGGTGACGCTTGACGATCAAGCTGACGATGTGGCTTCCTAGAAAGCCGCAGCCTCCGACGACGAGGACCTTTCCGAGCGATTGGATAGTGTCTGAGTTGTTCGGCATGGTGGAGGATGGGGTGTCAGTGCAATTGGTGGTGCGACGATCAGGGATTGTTTTGCGGAGAGCGCTCGGGGGAACACTTTCCGGGGGCTTGGGTTAGCTTCAAGGTTCCCGCATGTCAGGGTCTCAACGGCCATACTCGCGCGTGCAGAAGCGCCGTTCCCTGCACAATTATCACGATTTTCAAGAGCGATGTAGACGTCCAGGTCATATGAAATCACTTCAATGAGACAAAATATCATTCGTATTTCATGACTAACGCCGTTATACCGATGCAGTTCCCGTAGCCCTGATGAACGAACGCCGTGTAATGCAAGCCACCTCGCAAGGTCGGGCTTGGGGTATCATGTAATGTCATATCGAGAGGAAGACCGGCCGTGGGATCATTAGTTCGCAATCTCTAAAAGCAGTTCCTAGACGACTATTAGCAGACATCGTTGCAACGTCCACTAATGAAACTCACTCAGCGCTATCCTGTGCGGATCGCCTCAGTTTACGGTTATAGAGCTTCTTTTCGTCGGGAGTGCCCCAGAACAGCTTCGCAGCCTCGGGATTGACCAGTGTGCGTGGGTCGTATGCAGGTGACTCCTCCTCGATAGCCGCAATGATGGCCTCAATATGTGAGCGCATATCGTCCTTACGGGCAGCATCGTAGCAGAGTATGCCATCGGGCGATACACGGTGGTGGTAGAGAACCGGTGTCTATCAAATTGTCAGCTTGTCTTGAGGAATACGTTACGAGATAATTCGACAACAGCGTCTCCATATAAGAATCGGGCGGATACATACTAGACATCAGTTAGCGGAGAAATCTCAAAAAGCACGCGTGATGGCTACGTTACCCTCAAATCTAACACGCGGTAAAACCTCTGGGAATTTGGGGCTAATGTATAGCATAATCCGGAACATGCCGCCGTCGAGGTTCGTCATAGGTCTCCCGAACAGGACAAGCTGCCATACGAATGGGTTCTTATCGACAAGATCAAGATCCAGAGTAACGGCGTCTTGCTTCTTGTACTTCTCGATGATTTGCTCATACTGGCGCTGGAGGTTGTTGGCAATACTCATCTCTTTGCTAACAGCCATCATGCCCTCGGCGGCCCATGCCTCCATTTCCTTGTTGAGCGTCTCGAAGATCTTGACCAGGCGCTCGCGGAGCTGTGTGTACTGGAATGTGCCCTCCATCGCGTTGCCCGGGCCCTCGAACGGCATCTTCTCAAAGCGATCCCCATCCTTGTTCTTCTTCACTGCCTCGTCCACGCGAGCTAGATACGATTGGTAGTACCATAGGAAGCGTCGCTTGCAGAGGTCCTTGAAGGGCTCGAAGGGCGCGTCGTCCCTGCTCGACTGGTAATCCTCTTCCGCGTTGTAGACCGTTACGCCAGACCTCCCCCAATTGATGCCTAGGTATTCTTCCAGGCGATCGATGACGGATATGCGCAGCGACTCGTGTCGGATCTTGTCTACGTATGCCTCCTGGTTCTTCTTGTCGTAGTCCGAATTTGCGTCCTCGAAGCCAGGCTCATTTTCGTACGGGTTGCTCGACATAAGGCTCTGGATGGAGATGAGGATAGACTCGAGGCCCTGGGCAGACGACCATTCTTCACCACGCTCTCCTCGCCATGTACTGCATTCTGTTAGCATAGACTCAGCCTTGGAGGTATCTGATGCGATTTGTCTCGTCTTTTGACACAATAAACGTGTTCGTATGCTTCAGGACTGCCGTATTTTGCTTCGTTTCAAGACAGCCTAGAGGCATTCGATACGTTTTGTTTTGTCTCTTGACAGAACAGACACCTTCGTATGCTTCAAGCTCACTTACCCAAGAATCGATAGGCACACCTTGCCGCCCGCGTATATATTGGGATTGAATCGCGTACGCCCTCCATGGGTAGTTATAGCCGTGACACTCGGAGCCTTAGTAGGGTATTCGCGCGCAAACTTAACAGCGAACTCGAAGAAGCCGAACTCGTAGGGGGTGTCAGGTGGGCCTATGATTAGCGCCCGCACATGGCGCACGTCAATATCGCGGCAGGCAACGGCTATGGAGAGGTCGGAGCCGCGCTGGATCTCGCCGAGTTCGCGGGTGATTCTAAGAATGCTTTGGTTGGACATGATGGTGTGTGGAGGCCTCCCGGCAGCGGTTTGGATAGTTGAGATTCGCGGGGTTGGTGAAGCTCAACGGTCCGCGTTGGCCGGGCTGAGAATATTGAGCGGGTGTGGGTGCCGTGGTGTGGGGAGTCTTGAGGAGAAGCAGTGGTAGGAGTGAGCGGGCCTCAACCGTGTGAATGGCCAAGCAAACACCGATGTGAGCTGTCAAAGGTGAGTGGGTAGTTGGCTGCGGTGTGCAACTAGCCCCTCCCAGGGTCCCACAGGGCGGAACGCGAGCCGCAACACCACGCCGCCGAAAGTCGCGATAGTCTGTTCCTTGCGCACCGATCGTCAAGATGTAATAAGCAAGCCGAGTGTGTTCCTAGGTTGTCGGCTAACACTATAGTGTAGGGTGGTGTTCGCGCTGTTCGTCATCAGCAAGTCTGGCGGTCTCATTTACAATCGCGAGTTCCACGCGGGCATGAGCAAGCTCACCAGCAATGACTATCTCATGCTCGCTGGATCTTTTCATGGGTAAACCGCAATCTTCTGGGCTTATGAACTTCCACTGATGAGCGCCTAGAATGCACGCCATCACAGCGCAGCTCTCTCCAGTCCCACCCGTCCGCGCGCCGCCTCCCTCTACCACCACACCGAATCTCCAGACCTTCCCTGTCCGCGCAACCGGTATCGAGGTCCTTGAAAGCTCACACTTCCGCATACAATGTTTCCAAACACAGACCGGTGTCAAGTTCTTGCTCTTCACTGAGCCCCAGCAACCGAACGTCGACACTATGATGAAGAGGATATATGAATTGTATGCGGATTACGTCATGAAGAATCCGTTCTATACCGTTGAGATGCCGATTCGGTGCGAGAAGTTCGATCGGGGGCTGGATAGCTTTGTCAAAGTCAGAGGGGGTTGAGGAGGCCACATTGGGAATATGATACCACGAATCGGAATGAAGAGAAACAAAGCGGGGCGCGTGTTGAACAGCACGAGGAGCGTTCTGCTGCGGCATGCATTGCCACTGGTTGCAGTTCGAGAGCACACTAGAGACTCTCGTACCAAAGCTCCAGGGCATCACTCTTGGGTCCGTAACATGTATGATAGTGTCGGGTCTGGGGACGAAGAGAGACCACCCACTAGGGAAGTCAAGTTGTGAGAGATGTGCTGTAGAAGATAGTACTGTCTCCAGTACCTATCAATGTAGACTAATGTTCATTATTTGCTTCATTTCATCCGTGCCATGCGGTAGACGCCAGCTCTAGTCATACAGTAGACGCCATGAATACTCTTGCTCCACCGTGAAGCTTCAAAGGCGGTCCTCTTCCTAGCTGCGCTATGTCCGCTTATGCCGTGTCCATCTTGTCTGGGTCGTCGTCCTTCTTGTCCTTGCTGCCGCTTCCACCAGGCTGGCCCGAGCTGTCCAGCAGCGGCTGCTTCTCGTCACCCTCAGCCACTGGCTCGAGCTCCGACTTGCCCTCGGCCGCCTCCTTCGTCTTCTTGTCCTTCTCCTGCCGTGCCTTCTCTTCCTCGAAAGACATCCTCAGCGCCAATGCGAGCTCGGGGTCGACCGATGGATCCACGC